ACCTCCTGCTGTGGAAACAATGGAATTGCTTTGAGACTCTTGAGATGAATCTTTGATCAGGATGGAGAGAGGACAGACACTCTCTCTGGTAATCAGTGTCCCTTAGGGGAGCATCGCAGGGTCTGTGTGTGACTAGCCCTGCGGTTAGTAAAGAATCTTAGTTAGTAAGGCTCCTGGTTCTTCCCTGGTTGGTGATGTAAACAGAGGAGCTCAGGCACCCTTTCCCTTCCTCAGGACTTACAGGTGGCTCCGTGCCAGCTTTCTCCTGCTGGGCACACATCTGGGGATCAAACCAGCAACCTGGATATGTGCCCTGACTGGGAATCTAACCAGCAACTTTTTGTGCACAGGACAACATTCAACCAACTGAGCCACATCAGCCGGGCTCAACTCCCTCCATTTTAAGTGACTCTCTTAGCATGTTTATTCCATTTTATTTTTTCTTGTGTTATTCTCCAAACACAAGAAAGCAAAACAGAAACACCCAGTTCAATTAAAAATTAAATTAACAAATTGCATAAAAAACTGGAATGTGTAGAAATAACCAAATAAGATGGAAGAACCAATTCCAGATATATTGGTAATCACCATAGAAGTAAATGGGTTAAACTTGCCAAGTAAAACACAAACATTAGCTTTGGCCAGGTAGCTCAGTTGCTTAGAGTGTTGTCCTGACATGCCAAGGTTTCGGGGTTGACCCCGGGTCAAATCACATACAAGAATCAACCAATGAACCAATTAATTTAGTGGAACAGCAAATTGATTGTTTCTCTCTTTCTTCTCTCTCTGATGTATAAAGTGGTAAAACTGCCATTTTCTAGAGCATTTTTTCAATCTGATGAGATTTTGCTTCTCAGCAATTGTTATCAGTTTGGATGAAATAAACTCATAAAAATTCTTACAAGTTTGAATGTTTCTTACATTGATACACTGTACAGAGAAACCTCTAGGCCAGGGGTGGGCAAACTTTTTGACTCGAGGGCTACAATGGGTTCTTAAACTGGACCGGAGGGCCGGAACAAAAGCATGGATGGAGTGTTTGTGAACTAATATAAATTCAAAGTAAACACCATTACATAAAAGGGTACGGTCTTTTTTTTTTTTTTAGTTTTATTTATTTCAAACGGGCCCATGGCTGCTCTAGGCCCAAATGGCATCACTTATGCTAAAATCCCATGATTTAATACCTGACTTAGTTATGGTATCAACCTCTTCCAGAAATTGAATCTTATTCAACAAATTTGGAATTTTCTGGTCGGGCACCGGTAAAGCAATCTGTCCTGCAGGCTCCTTCCCCATCCTCCTCCCCATAGAAAGAAGAGGCAACCGGCATGACAAAAAGCCTTGCTGTTGCCTTTCTCTCCCCCAAACCCAGGTCCTGATCTAAAAAATAATCCTTTCTTTTCTTTGGTTAAGAGCTCTCTTGCCCTACCC